GGATACTGGCCACCTGTACCGGGATTCTGGGGCTAAAACCCTCCCGCATGGGCAGAGGACACATGGCAGGACTCCATCTCCTGGGAGGTATGGAAGGGAACAGCCTGATACAAGGTTAGGGATAGACGTACCCACCTACTCCCCCACCCCCAGTCAAGTCTACAGCGATATCTGCGAAAGACCTGTTGATTCTGCCCCTGCCAGACAGGTGGCCCCAACGTGCCTGGTTGTGGACCCCAGCTCAGCTGCTCCTACCGAGAACAGCACAGGAGTAGCCCCGGGTCCCCTGAACAGAGGCTATGGGCCTCCCCGGGAAAACATCCACTCGAAGCTGACCTATGAGAATTATGAAGCTGACTTGTCCACGTTCCAGGGGCCTGGGGGCAAGAGGACCGTGTACCCGGAGTTTCTGGCCCTGCTACGGGCAGAAGGTGTGGCAGAGGCCACCCTGGCAGCCCTCTTACAGCAAGGCTTTGACTCCCCCGCCGTCCTGGCCACCCTGGAGGACGCCGACATCAAGTCCGTCGCACCCAACCTGGGCCAGGCCCGTGTCCTGAGCCGCCTCGCCAGCAGCTGCAGGACAGAGATGCAGTTTCGGAGACAGGACCGGACAGGCCCTCCACCCCGCGCTCGGTCCAGTAGCTTCAGCCACCGGAGTGAGCTGCCCAGTGACTTGGCCTCGCTGGGCACCACAGCCTTGCAGTTCCACCCCGCTGGGCCTTTGCAGACACCATCTCCCCGGGCTGGAGACGCAGCTCGCCGCCCCTCCAGCGCACCTTCCCAGCACCTCCTGGAGACAGCAGCTACTTACTCTGCCCCAGTGGTGGGGGCCCAACCCCCCCACTTGCCCCCCAACTCCGGGTACAGCTCTCCTACCCCTTGTGCCCTAACAGCGCGGCTGGCCCCCTCCTATCCTTCCCAAGCTGCTGGGGTAGCCTTGACTAACCCGGGTCCTTCTGTCCCCCTCCACTCAAGTCCCAGAACAGCGTACTCCACCTCGTACACGGTGCCCATGGAGCTGCTGAAGAGGGAGCGCAGCGTGGCCGCCTCTCCGCTGCCCAGCCCCCACGGCAGCCCCCAGCTCCTGCGGAAACCTGGAGCGGCCCCCATGGAGCCGCCTGCCCTGCCACCAGTCAGCCAAAGCCTCCACACACCTCACTCTCCGTACCAGAAGGTGGCCCGGCGGACGGGGGCCCCCATCATCGTGTCAACCATGCTCACTCCAGAACCAAGTAACTTACCCTTCCTGGCTGGGAGTTCAAGGGGTCGGGGGAGAGGACAGAGATTTGAGGAGAAAATAATGTGTTCCTACTGGTCCTATGTGTCTTGTCTGTGTGTGCCCGGCCCCCTGCAAACCCTACCAGAGTACTAGGGTGAACGCTGGGGTCAGTTTCCTCCTCCCATGGGCTTATTCTTGAGTTCTGCAGATTTATGTAGCAGGTTAAGCCCCGGTTTGCCGGCTTCCTCATCTGGTTTTGAAACGTAGCTGCTTTCCGGAGAGGATCAGAAGCCGTTCTGAGAGACTGTCCCGTTTTTATGCATGAGAAGGGTGGTTCTCTAATTCCATTGGATAGCTTTGGAAAAGCCAAGAGTAGCTGATGGAATGCCTCCTATAAATTGGGCAAGGATAATTTGCTGGTAACAGTGCCTGGCAGTGGGGGCAGCAACCCCGCTCTGCAAAGCCAGCCCACAGTATCAAAGGCAGAGATTCTCCTCTGCCGATAAGAACACGTCTGTTTCCATAGTTGTGGGCTAAACAAAGCAACATGTTGAAATCTCTTAGAACTGTTTGAAAGGAAAAAAAGAAAAAGATTAAGCCTCTCGTTTTAGAAAACATGGTTGGGAATTCTGCTTGTTCGTGGGGGAAGATACTATTTCCCTGTTGAAGTGGCGGGGAATGCTAGGTGGTTTTCTTCAAAGCAGAAGCCCAGAGTGATTGATTCATTGTGTGCTTTTCACTGGACACTGTGGTTAAACTTCTTGGTGGGTGTCCTCTGAACAGTTAGTGTTTAACACTAGAATCCGGACTGAAAAGGTCAATCCGTTTTCTCCTTACCTTTGCCTTCCAACGTACATAATTTAGAAAATGACATCATTTTTATTCTAATTTTTGTTTTGTTTTATGTGTGTGTATGAGTGCCTGCATGTATGTGTGTGCCAGGGTTCCCAGAAGCCAGAAGAGGGCATCGAATGCCCTGGGATTAGAGTTACAGGTGGATGTTGGTTAGCTGCCCGATCCAGACGCTAGGAGTTGAACCCAGATCCTCTGCAAGAATAGCAAGTGCTCTTAACTGCTGAGCCCTCAAACGGCTTTAAAATAGATTTAAAAATACCTAGCATATCGGACAGGGGTAGTGGGGTGGGAAGTGTACATTTTCTCCAGTGTCCTCTAAAGCTGCCTTGGATACGCCTGGTCTTAGAGCCTTGAGATAGGTGTTTCTATGAGGATGACATACAGTGGCTCATGACTACAGAGCCAGCCCTCCAGGCCTTCTGTCCTTCTAAAGAGACTGGCTTTGGGGGTGGATCGTCTCCCCTCCCGCTCCTCCAATGTGTTGTTGTTTTTTTTTTCTTGTTTTTCTCTTGCTAATGAGTCTGGCATTGTGCTCCCCACCCCCACTTTTATTTATTTATTTTTTAAAGTCTGATTATATACTTTGACTTTGAAATCCATGTGTGCCAGGAGGGGAGTCGGTAAGTTTTGAGGGCCCGTGTGCCTTCCTTCTCCCTCAGTCCAACATTCTTTCTTTGCAAGCAACTCATTTGCATGGCGATGACATTTGTTGCTCCAGTAATTTCATCTGATAATGGCTGGGCTTGCAAAGCGGATCTGAAAACATATTCCTTAATTATGTGTTGCTAAGCAACGGAAGGGTTTGGTCATAATCACAGAAAGATTATCTCCTCACTGAAGTCCTGGAAAGGTTTTGCTGAAGGAGGAGGTCCTGCAGAATTGCCGTCTACCCCCACCCGTGGCTCCCCCCCTCCCCTTCTGTTTACTGTGTGCTGCATTCGAACAAAAACACTCGGTGCTATTTGGGTACGGGGTGAGGTATGTTATATAAGTTGTTTGGAGTGTGATTGTTGACACACTGTTTTACAGACCCAAGGATATTGATTTTTATTTCATTTGCATGGCAGCGAGCCATCGCCGAGCAAGCCTGCCGTCGGAAGTCTGCCAGCAAATAAATTTCTCTGTCAAATGATCTGTCCCAGAGCTCCGGTTGTCATCCTCGCTTCTTATCGTACATTCCATGTGACATTATGACTCTACCCTGTCGGGGCTGGGGGCAGGGGCCTCGGCTTCCTGGCTGCTTCTCCGCTGTGTGAATGGCATTTGGGTGACAGGTTTGTTTGCTGGCGTGTACAGCCAGATCGGGGTATGCCGAAGGCAGCCGGGGACTTCATTGGAGTGTCTGTAGGCACGGCTTCAGGCAGAGAGGTGCCGAGTCCCAGAGAGAACGGTGTCAGACCAAGGGAAAGGCACCGGAGACCCGAGGCACGTTGCTGGGCAGCCTGCCTTGCCTCTGGGCCCAGAGATGGCCACCTCCGGTCTTGAAATGGAGTCGTATTATGTTACTCATTAGTGGCAGGGTCAGCCTGACTGGTTCTTCATTTTGATTTCACCACACTCTGTTGGTTTCCTCTGCCCAGTGTGGGAGGGTCCTGGATCGCCTGGGGAGTTGCTCCCCCCCCCATGTGCCCCCCCCCAATGCCCTTATGGTGAGCTGATGTCAAATGTTAGCTGCAGAATTGTTTGAGGAATTTTTTAAGAGTCTCGTTTGGCTCTTCAGGCACAGTGTGGATACTAATGTTTGCTTTTGTTTGTGTGTGTGTGTGTGTGTGTGTGTGTGTGTGTGTGTGTGTGTGTGTATGTGCACAGTAACAATAGGCTCCTATTTGCCAGGCCTGTCCCAGCCCATCAGCCAGGCAGTTCAGAACATCAGGGCAAGGCAGGCAGAGGCACAGGATTAATGGGTTTCTGGGCAGCGCTTCGTGAGTGATGGCACCTGGTGGGTCAGCTCTCCATCCTACACTGACGTGGCGGCTGACACGGTGGCTGTCACATGCTGTCATCCGTGGCCAAGAGTCTGAGCCACTCTGTACCAGATGCCAAGGAGCTTCAAGCAAACACCAGTATGGTGGCGACCATTTTCCATCCTGTCTCCCCCCAAACCAGCAAAGCACAGCTTGCCAACGCTCAGCCAAGGTTCAGCTTGCCAACGCTCAGCCAAGGGCGAGGCGCAGGGTTCAGTTTCTTTGCTGTGTGAGAAACAGTCTCCCACACCCACACCCACCTCCCGTATTCCCAGCTATTCTTCTTAATGTAGCTGCACTGACGGAGCACCTGAAGGCTCCGTTCTAGTTATCTTGTTGCCAAGGCTGCTATTAAGGACTCTTAAGGTCAGTTGGAAAAAAATCTATGGCTATTTATCCAATGGTGTGGTATGCCATTGCGTTGATTCTAATGCCATGTGAACACATGATCTGATTAGAAATCAGGATGGGGATGGCTCCCACAGGGCTCCAGTGATTCCCTCGGATGTCTTTTTTTGAAGTGCTTTCTGCATGCTCTGAGGATGGGCTCTTTGGATGACCTCCTTGAAGTTCCAACGTTCTGGGTTGTACCCACTCACTACTCTAGATAGAGCAAGCCCAAGGAGGACCTCTGTGTGAGACTCTAGACCTCTGCTGAGTGCTTGGCCTGTTCCTGTCTTGAGTTAGGGCTACACTTGGCCCTGGGCTGCTCTGACCACATGACCAAACTCTTTCTTCTGTATGAGTTGGGGAATTTCATCCTCACAGTGAAGAGCATTCTCCTTTGATTAAATGGCATGCAAGCTGTTCTTTGGTCCCTAGAGGACCAGGGCCAAGCTGTCAGCAACTATAACAGGACAAGATTAAATGGACAAAGGGGGAAAAAATAGGAAGCCAGGGAACCAGGCTAGAACACGAGACCACTCCTGGTGAGCTTGAACACAAGGAGAAGTAGAAGGTTCTTCTGGGAGCTTAGTAGCGTTTAATGAGGGGACACTTAAACGACTCGTGCACTGAGGACTGGACCCGAGAGCTTTTATTGCCGGGGAGCTTTTTCCGAATGACCCTGTTGTGTCCTCTTGACCGCCTAGCTAACGAATTGCTGTCTCTAGGGTTGAGTTCACTTTCTTGTCACCTCTCGGGTCCTGTTGCGTCCTTGGCCTTCCTTGTGTTCCAGCAGCTGCCCATATTTTTTTATTATCTTTATCATTTTCATTCGGGCTCATCAAAGCTTCATTCCAAATGAAGTTGCTCGACTCTTCCATGTAGTTTTGGCCCCGGAGAGTGGCTGCTCCCTCTTTAGTTCCGCACGTCCACGCCAGAATGGACAGTAGGAACTCTTGTCTGGAGAATGGAGTACCGAGTTCTGCGGTCCATTTTCCTATACCTATCCCATTCAAAGCTGGCCTCCCTGCTTGGGGCCTTCCTGTCAGAAACCTTTAATATATAGAGAGATAAATGTTACTTGGTGCGTTCTGGTGTTTCCCTCTGTGTGGGGATTTGAACCCAGAATACATAGAAAAAGTGACTCTGGAGAGGAGGGGGTGCGGACCCTGACCAGCTGCCACACTTGGGAGAGTCAGCCTGCTGGCCTCACAGATGGAGAGCCTCCAGGAGGGTCCTCAAGAGTCCCCTTCTTTGTGAGCCTGAAAAACTCACGCAGAATGAAGAAAGTGGAGCAGACGGGGCCTCTTTCCTCTTCTGCTGACCCCAGGGGCCGCCTTAGCTTCAACATGACAGTAACATCTGTGCTTCTGGGCATTCGGCCTGGGTGGTGTGGAGAGAGTACTGAGTCAGGTCTGCCAGGCCCCAGCCCCCTTTGGAGGGACAGGGTAGTAACATGTGTTCCGCTCCCAGGGATGAGCTGCTTGATTTCAATGGACACAGAGTGCCCACAGACAACCCTAGTCCTCGGGCATGAGTCGGCTGTGCCTCTCACTGTGCCTTTGTGATGTGAGCGCCTGGGACACCCAGGCCTGTGCCATCCCAATTGCTGCTGCCTCCTGGTTCATGCACAAAAGGCCCTGCAAACTGGTACATCCTCCCTCCTCTGTCCCCTAGCTTGTGTTGAAGCCCCTGTGCCGGGTGGGCAGGGGGACCCCGGGTACTTGATCACAGTAGCTCTCAGCCTTCAGAAGGAGAGTCTGAACATGATGAAGGCTCAGGCCTCTGTAGCCCTTCACTTGGGAGGCAGAAGTATCGCCACAAGTTCTGGTCTAGCATGGGCTACATAGTTCCAGACCAATTAGGACCGCATGGTGAAAACTGTCTCAGATGACCTTGACATCAGGGTGAGCTGGGCCTCTGACGTCCAGGGACCACGCGTGGGCTCTGCAGGTTCCTGTCCACTTCCACGTTCCTCAGGCAGGTTTCTTTCCTGTTCTGGTCTTCCATTGTGTTTAGTCTCTGGCATTCTCTGTTGCCATGGGCACAGTTTTAGTTAGCATTTAAGAACTACTCACACCCTGTCAGGATGCACCACCTTATAAGCATCCAGTTCTGCAAGGCAGTAGCTGGAGACCAGAGAAAAGGCACCAGGTTGGCGCATGGGCGACGTGGGAGGTTGGAATTTTGTGTACTTACATTTCTTTTATGACCAGGAAGGATGTGCCTCTGAACCAGCCAGGCCTCGCTCTGGGGCCACACAGGACATGGGCCATACTCAGGGGAAGGTAGGCATCTGTGGTTCCTGCCTGCAGTCCTCAGCAACGCTGCTTGTTCTCCCGTGTTGCTCTGCCCTGGCCTCTGCAGAGGTGCGTGGGTCTCTCCATCAGTGGGTCACTAGCTTGCAAGCGTGCTTTCCTACTTTGCTGGCCCTGTGCACAGTGCGCATTCATCAAAATCTGGTAAACGAGTCTCGTGACGGGAAAGGAGAGAGAGGTGTCTTGGGAGACATGTTCCAGGCTGCTCTTTCTCTGGAAAACTCGGCTAGTGTGTCGGAGGCAGGTGGAAAAGATCTTTCTTCCCTGGCCTGATTGAAAGTAGAAGAAACAGATGTGCAATAAACACCTCACATGCCACGGGGAATTAATAGCAGAAATACACAGGGAGCTTTGATTGACAGGTACTCGCTTTGGATTCTGTCCTCTGGAACCCTTCTTCTTCGCCGTCTTCTCTTACCAGTTACTGGCTGGAAGGGCACCCTACCTAGGCTGCTGGAGAGTGGCTGTGGGAGCCCCAGAGTGGGACAGCCTGCTCCCCGGCCCTCCTGACCTTGCTCATTATGGCTGAAGTGTGGTCCCTGAGTTCTCTCTCTGCCTGAGGCTTTGTGGGAGGATGTTCCTTCTGAGTCAGAGCCTTGGCAGAAGCCCAAGAGTCCCTGGCTATCTCGGGGTTTCATCACACCTTGTCTGGCCTGTGGGCTAGTAGTGCATGCAAAGCTCAGGGCATCTGAGACACCAGCCGCAGGTCACCTCAAGGCTGTTCCTGCAGAGAAAGTCACACACAGATTTGTGGGATTCTGTTTTTAACCTCCGAGCCAGGGGGATGTCTTACCTGGCATGTCCATCAGGACATGTTGAGTCACAGGCCACTGTGAAGAGTGATCTGGTATCTATCCCTAGACTACGGTTCTGAGGTCTCTGGTGACCAGCCACCAAGCCTCAGGCGTGGGTCTCAGAGGCCTTGTAAAATATCAAAGGGAATTTGGAGTTTTTCTCTTCCTTGGTGCTACATTGGGTGACAGTTCCTATCATGGTAGTTTTTTCCTTAGGCCTCAAAGCCTAAGACCCCGCTGGAGGGAGGAACCAACCCTGCCTGGTGAGATCCTTGGCCCAGTGCAGTTCTTGACGGGGATGTCTGCAGTCTTTGGTTGATGGGTGGGTCTGTTCAGTGAGGGCGGCGGAATCTGAAGACCAACCTTCCCACTAAGATAGCAATGGAGGAGGTGCTTTGGGCATCCTTTCTAGAAGGCTTGATGTGTTTTCTTGGCTGTATCCCTGGCCTGGCCTGGTGTTTGGGTCACTATTAGAGTGCCTAGGCATGGTGGCCGTGGGCCAGCCAGTCCCCTTTACACCACTGGGAGCCCCAGCTTCTCCTTCAAGCTCTGGAGTCGTCGGGTAGAACTGAGTGAAGCCCTTCTCCGTGACCTTGAGAATCATGCCCCTCGGCCTCATTTTCTGTGTTGGAAAAACCTGCTTTTAGGCATCAGTGACGCAGGATTTAAGGAAGAGCGGTGCAGGGGTGTGGCTCCTGTAACCTGCATGTGCCTCAACAGGGACTCATAAGGCTACCTTGATTCCACAGTTGTGACCATGTAGACAATACAGGGCCACTGTTTCATGTGTATTCCATCCGGCTTGTGGATGTGTGATTTCATTGCTTCACTAAAATTCTGAAGAGCTGGGGGTGGATGCACGTGTCTGTAATTCATAGCACTCTGGAGTAGCAAGTTTGGGGTCAACTTGAGCTACATAGCAAGTTCCAGGCCAGCCTGGGTTGCATAGTGAGACCCTGTCTCAAAAGTCAAAAGGGATTTGTTGTTGTCATCGTCGTCGTTTATGAAAGCCAGTAATGGGAAAGTGGCTGGAGACGGACGGGGCTTACTGTTCTACATTTAAGCCAGTGCCCAGGTCTGGAAAGTATACTCTGTAAGCAGCCTAATTCCCCAGCACTGAATGTGCTTCACATGGGGATGGGGGCCATGCCTCAGGAGAGAGACCGATCCGGGGACCCTGGAGCTGCATATAGCTGCCTTTTCCTCTCCGCCTCGGCTGCACAGTGGTGGGAGTCACTCTCCATGGTCTTTCCAGCATGTTGCACTCACCCAACCCATGACCTTGACAGTCAGGCCTTGATTTAAAGGCTCTGGGTAGCCACAACCCCTGGAGAATTACAGCCTGGATATCCATAGCTTGGCCTCACAGGAGTCACAGCCCCAGAGAAGGCAAAGTGAGTCAGTCAGCAGGACCAGGGTTGACTTGGTGCCTAGTGAGGCTGCGGAATCCCAAGCCTTGAACAGGAAGTTCACTGAGTTCTGGGAGCTAGTTTCCGGGGAGCACCCCCTTCTAACTTGAGTTTGTCCGTTTAAGATTTTAAGATTCTTCTCTGGCCAAGTCCTGAGATTTTATTCTGCAGCTGAGCTCGGGTGTCACGGCCACATGCGCAAGAGGCCGAGGCAGCACAGGTTCAGATGTGAGGGACTGTGATGGGCTCTCAGAGCAAGGTTGCAGGAAGAGAATGGTGTTCCTACCCCCACACCTCACCCCCCACCCAGAAGCCAACTGATTGAAGTAGGCTTATAGATAAATGTTCCTTCCAGAAGACAGATGAGGGGGTCTCCAGGGACATGGGTGCCACACTGGGAAGCGGAAAAGTCCATCACTTGAGGAACTAATACACCCTCACACTTAGAGATAACTGTACCCACAAGCCCGGGACTTCACCCTTCCAGCCTGTCTTCTGTCCTTGGTGCTAAATAGGACATGCAACCCATTTTAGCAAAAACTGCAGTGGAAACTGTGCCCTTGGCTGGGCATTAGGACATGTCCTTCCTGGTCAGCTTCTGGTAATGTTCTTCAGGGACCCACTTCAAGTCTGAGGTCAGCAGAGATGTGCTGCGTACTGGCTGGATTCTCGAGACAAGGAATTGGTTAGGAGACATTTCATTTTGGAGCACCAAGAGCTGCCGGAGACTGGCAGGTGACAGAAGCCCAGTCCCCAAATCACACAAGCCAGGCTGTTATGGAAAGAGAAAGTTTTCTCTGTCACTTCCCTTGTTTGAGCACTCTGGACGAGCTGCAGAGATGTCTGTCTCAGGGTTCTGGGTGGAGCCAGTTGAAGTAACAGCAGATGCTGGTCTCCTTGGGATAGCAGGGTAGTCTAAGTTTGCCTTCCTGTTACTGAACTGGAAACAACGATGTTTCCACACAGTGTAGGACTCTACTTTCACTCTGGACGGCACCACACCCAAACATACAGGTACACACACAATGTTGGGTTAGCAGCAGTCACACAGGAAGCCTGCAGGGCCCATGGCCATGGCCCAGGCATTTGGAGCAGCAATCTGTGCGCACCTGGTGGATGATCATGGGGGCCTAGACGATTCTCACTTGAACTGTAACCCACTAAAATACAAGGTGTATTAAGCAAACCAACCTGCTTAGCCCAGCATCTCATGGCCCTCCCTGAGTCGCACCTAGAGAGCACCCTGGCTCCTGAGTTCAGAGGGCCTGGTGACAAGCTAGCTCCTCGAGGCGTATGCCGTAACAGTGGACCAGCCCTTTCTCAACCATCTTTGCCTGTTCATGGGGCCTACCATGGGCCCTTGCCCTTGCGGGGTGCATCTGTTAGTTTTTGTTTGCTCCCTAGTAGATCATTCTAGAAATAATGGTAACCTTTCAGCCGGTGGTTCTTCTTCATCCTAGGCCTTTTATGGTACACTCTTCTCAGAATCTGGCACAGCTTAGCCCTCGGGTTTGAAGGATTATGGGATCTTCTAAAGAAGCCACTGCCCCTCTGTGCAGCTGGGTGGTGCCTTACACTTGTGTTGGTGGCCCTTGCTAGTGTTGGTGGCCCCACCCGTCCCTGCTTCATTCCAGGCTCATCTTGTTTATGTCGTGGGTAAATGACCTTCAGGCTCCTTTCCGCATTACAAGAGTAGGTCAGGGTCACCAGTGCCTGGCAGGGAGATTTCAGCAGGCCCTGGTGTGGTGTACCCTGGTGCTGAGGGGCACTGAATCCGCAAGGCCTGTGAGCTCAGAGCTGTGCCAACCAAAAGCTGAGGTTTCTGATCAAAGTGGTGTTTTCTGACCTTTCATGGTGTGACGCAAAGTGGTGGCTCTTAGAAAGGCGTCCCATCTGAATGGCTGCCTCTGAGTGTCTCCGGGGCCTCCCAGCAGGGAGCGGGGTGGTCTTGGCTGCCCCCTTACCACCACAGCTGCTGTTGTGTGTATCCCCACCCTGGCAGGTTGGAGACCATTCTACATGTGCCTCAGTGCATTGGCAGAACGAGAGACGCAGCTTCCTCTCCTCGCAGCCATATGCTGGGGTGCTTTAAGGCTGAGCCTCAATTTGGGGTTTGCATTGTGAAGCCCAAGCCTCTGGTAAACACACACACACACACACACACACACACACACACACACACACACACACACACACACACACGTCACATCTCAGTTCTGGTTTTCCACCTGACTTTCTAGAAATTGTGTCCCACCAAGAGGGTTAGGGCCTACTGAAAAGGGGCCATATATATAAAATAGGGAGAAGTCCATCCCGAAGGGGAGGCTTGTCTTACAACACTGGGGTGACGCCAGTGGGCCCCATGAGGGGTTTACCTTGCAGGTGCTAGCAGCTCCTGGGTCTGCGTCACTGGCTCCATCTTCTAGGTTTCGTATCCCTGTGGGTAAGGCTGGGAGCTACCCATAGACTCAGTGGCTCCCCCAGTTATCTCATGGGTCTCAGAGCTAGTAATGAATCATTTACAGACTTGGCTTCTTACTAGGCACACAGCAGTCCATGGATGGCACGCTTTCATCTTGGAATCTCTATAGGGGCTGTTTGACCTCCTTGACCTTGCCACTCCTGGTATGTCCCTTAGGTTTTGCAGCCCAGCAGGTTAATTTAAAATCAGTGGCCTGCGGGTGGCAATATGATGCAACCGAGAAAGTCAGGACAGCTGATGGAGAACATCTAGAGAGTTCCAGCAAACTAACCTTAGCGTACAAGAGGCTCTGTCTGGGTGCCGTCCATGAGCTCCTGGTCTCTGTCTCCTAATCCCAGCATGCCTGTGTAAGGTGTCAGAACTTCCAGAGTACATTGCCAGCTTCTGTCCCAGTAGGTAGCATCATGGTGAGAGCGTGCACAGAGGATGGTGGCAGTGCCTGTAATGGGAAGCAGGGTGGGCAGGCTGGCATTTTACAGCATCCTCTGGAGATAACTCACAAACTCTCACGCCCTTCCAAGAACACACCCAGCTGCAGTAAGGACTCAGGACCCAAGTCCCCGTGAAGAACCCTTGGGAACATGCTCACATTGTGGCTCACTTCACAAAGCCTACTTTGCTTGGGAATCCAAAAGCATTTAGGTTCTTACTCATTCTTTTATGTATATGGGCATTTTTGCTTGCATGTATATATGTATGTGCATTGGTTGCAGGCAGTGCCCGTAGGGGCCACAAGAGGCCGCCACAGCTCCTGGACCTGAAGTGATGGTTGTCATCACCATGTGGGGGCCAGGAATGGAGCCCAGCTCCTCTTAACCACTGAGCCCTGTCCCTCCATCCCCTGCAGGTCAGTTCTCAATCTGCAAGCAACAGAAACGGATCCAGACCACATTTAGAAATTCCTTTCTTTCTTTACCCTTACTCATACAGTATTCAAGAAAATGGAAAGTGGGCCTCAGAAAGACAGGGCAAGGCTGTGGGACAGGATCACCACCTGTCCTTCCTGGTAATGCTGCTTTGGGAAGCATGACAGCCGTGGGGCAGATCCCAAGCCAGGAGATGATAACTCCAGCCTTTCTGTCCTCAAAGCCCTGAGGAGGGAAGTCCTGGGGCAGGGTTTGGGGGCTTGGGGGGGGCATCCATTTGTCATGTTAATGTAAATGTGCTTTACACTATAATGTATCCATAACATCCTAATACTGTAAGGGAGCGGATGGCGGGTGTGCTCATAGCTCTGTACATTGGGTGAGATCGTGTGTTTCTGGACATGTGGTATCATACAGTGCTTTTTCCAGGGGCACAGAAGCTGGTTGGCCATAAAGCTGCCCACGTCTCTCTAGATAGAGGTCACTGGAGGTCTACAGGGCCCTTGAACCTGGCATTACCGGGGTGCCTGGCACAAATCTGAACCACTGAGCTTGCGGGGGGCGGGTGGTTGTACTTGACGTTCTCTAACCTAACGTTACTGGGGAGCGGCTTCCTCTCCAAGCTGTATTATACCAGGGACCTGCAGCGCCATGGTCCAGACAGATAGATGAGCAAGTCCCATGCATGTTGTATAGAGGCCATCCTGGAGCCGGCTAGGAATTCACTCCAGGGGAACGGACTGAGTTCTTTCTCTGCCCCACGTGTAATGCTGGGTAGGCTCTCAGCAGTGGGACACTGCCTCCATTCCCATAAGAGGCCTAATTGTTGCTGGGTAGGAGGAGTCTATGGAGAGGGTAGAGGGACACATCATCTTGCACAGTCACTGAACACCTTGTCATCGGGTGTGTCTCCAGTGTGGGGGAGGCTGGGAATGATGGCGGCATCGCCAGGTCCCCGTCAGTCTTAGGGTTTGGCTATGCGGAAAAGCTGTGAGCGTATCTATCCTAAACTCCAGTTTTGGAAGGACGCCTCCGTAAGTACTGTGCCTTGGGCCTTCTTCCCTCAAATCCCCCTATTGAAGAAATGGGCCACCGCTCCAGGCCAGGGGCCAACCTGAAGACTGATCCCAGCCTTGAGGGTCCTGTGTGTGTCATGTTAATGTACAAGTGCTTTACACCAAGATGTGCCCCTGGCACCCTAATCTGTTAAGATGGTACGCTCTTCAGAACTGTTGAAAGAGGTGGGAAGGACGTCTACCGGAAGCTGGCTCTGTGTTGAGATCATCGGGGCTCTCTGATTTTGTGTTCCCCGAAATGCCGTGGGCAGGGTCGCAGCCCTCCTCCTCATACCCTGGGTCAGGTGGCTCCTGTCACGCTGCTCCTCGGCCACTCTATGCCAGGTTCCATACTGTCACTGCCACCGACCCTGCCACCCCCGTTCAGCATCCTTCCCTAGCCAACAGGTCTCTGGTTGCCTCTGCTCCTCCCTTTTGCCTGGATATCAGAGGTTTCCCCACTGGGAGTCATACCTCAGGCCTTGGCCAGGTGTCCTCGGGGTGCTGTGGACCCACCTCAGCTGAGGGAAAGAACAAAGGATGGGATGCACCAAAGGAAAAAGGAGACCTAGTCAGGGAGAGAACTGATCACTAGGCAACCTGGAGTCCGTTACCCAGGTAACAGATAACATGCTCTGGTACCGTGGATGGACATCTTAGATGGTGGCTCTCAGCCGCTCCAGATGTATTGGATGGCTCTAGATCTCTGGCTTGTTCCTGGCACTGTCTTCCTTGGCAAGGTGGGGTAAATTACTACGTAATTAATACCTGAACTTCTGATGTGGCAAGGTGACCCATCCTGCTAGCCTTTTCCAAAACCAAGCTTCTTGGGAGACTGGGGAAGGAGCTCTGACCTGTGTGGTCTGATACTGATAGCCTCAACCCATGTTCTTGGAAGTTGGCCATTTTACCCTCTTTCTTAGTAAAAAGAAGGCAGGGTTATTGTCAGACCTTACATACCTCAGCTTCAGTGCTCATCTGGGTTAGCAGATGGTGCTCTGTAGCTGAGTGACAGGATGAACACATGAGCAACTGTGGGATAATCACTGTCACCTCACTTCCCCTTCTGTGACCTGGGGGGGTCTCACCTGGACCTACTAAGGACAGGGAATATTGAGGCCATTTGTTTCCTCATAGGACCAACCTGTTAGTTATCTGAGCCATGGGCCAGTGAGGACGTGGGGTGTAACCTGTTCGCTACCTTGCCATTGCCAATGTGGGAGGATTTTAGAACTGGGACCACTCAGGCACCCTACCATGTGCTTCAGAGTCTCAGGCAGGTAACAGGTGCACGCCGGGAATGCTTCAACATGAGGATCTGGCTGCTATTCAGGCTGAGATGGTCCATGATTCCCTTTCCACCCAGCTTGTTCTTGTAAGACGGGGACAGAAACATTCTCTCTGCTCTGAGCTCGCTGTCTGTCCTGAGATTGTGCAGAGGTATGGTGCGAGGATGTCACCCGCATGCAGTGGTGGTGAGGGTGCCCGAGGAAGATGGACACAGCTCTCAGGAAAGCATGTCCTTCCTCAGCTTCTCACTGCAGTGTGTGGCCAGCTCCATGAGCCTGTGTGATACAAGAGGATCCCACGTGTCCAGCCCCCTACCAAGCGGTTAGTTCAAAGGCGGCCCAGGAGCTTTCGTTGGGAGGGCTGTCTTAGGGATTCTATTGCTGTGAGGAAACATGACTGTAAACAACTTGGGGAGGAAAGAGTTTGTTCCAGCTTACGACTCTGAGGTCACAGTCCATTGCTGAGGGAAGCCAGGGCAGGAGCTAAGGTAAAAGCCACAGAGGAATGCTGCTTGCTGGCTTGCTCCCATGAGTTGTTCAGCCCGTCTTCTTACAGCAGCCAGGACCACCAGCCCATAGTGAGCTGGGACCTTCCACGTCAATCATCGGTCAAGGAAATGCTCTACAGCAAAGAGGGGGGGAGGCCTGCAGGCGAGGCTTTGGGTACCTTAATGCTCACATAAAGGCCACGTGGTTCCAGCAGCCTGTGTTCCCTATAGGATCTGAGAGAGACCCCTGGCAGGAGGGACAGACACATCCTACCACACTGAACGGCCTCTGTGAAAGGGAATGACTGACTAGAAGGAAAGAGACAGCTTAACTTGAAATAATGGCCTGGACCGCCCAAGCCCCTCCGCGTGAGGAGGGAAAGGCAGCAGTCCCGGCCAGATGCCTCCTTCCCTCTGCATGGTGTGGGCCTTTAGGATGCTGGGAAACTTTATGTGGTTATCTGAAAGCTGTCCAGTGTCGATGTTTGTCTCCATGACAAGGAAACAGACCTTGCCCCTTCCCAATGTCATGGTGGTGTAGTGTCCCCAAAGCTGGGTCCAGAGCATGGGACTTGGATGACTCCAGTCAAGAGGGAGAGGCTGACTGGGAAGAACAAAAGTCGGGAGCTCCCGGACAGGTGACCCCAGAGGATCAGGTGCTGCTGTGCTGTGGGTGTCCGAACCTGTCCAGTCTGCTGTATAGACAGTTGGGAGGAAAGGCGCCCCAGCCGGGCTGCATCCTGGAGGACCAGTGGAGAATACGCACTTGGGTACCATCGGGATGGCGTCCCTCCCTATTCCATCTCCATATTGGCCTCATGGGAAGCTGGCCAGCATGACTATGCTGTGTTCCTTTTGGGTATTGGTTCTCCGAGCCTCTGGGTACAGCTTGCCTTCACTTCACAGGGTGGAGGGCTAGGGCTGCCTGTGGTGACATTTTGTGTCTGCTCTAACAAAGCTTGTCTGAAGATCAGAGGGCAAAGCCAGCCACTTGTTAGCCATAGAGACCGGGCAGTGGTGGCACACACCTTTAATCCCAGCACTTGGTATCTCATGCCTCTGCTCCCAGTCCTTGGGAAGCACACACACGTTTAATCCCAGCTAGGGAGGTGGAGACAGGAAATGATATACGGCTGGGCGGAGAAAAGGAATATAAGGCAGGAGGAGAGAGGAACTCCTTCACTTTCGGCTGAGGAGTTGGTGAGGTGAGAGGTGTCTGTGGCTTGTTGTTCCTTTGTCTCTCTGATCTTTCAGCATTCACCCCAATATCTGGCACTGGTTTTTTTTTTTTATTTTATTTATTTATTTATTTATTTTTAATAAGACCAATTAGAATTTGTGCTACAGCTGCCTGCTTGCTTTAGGAGTTCTTTGGGAAGTTCTTTCAGAACAAGATGCCTACACATTTGCTCCTGTTTCATTTTATGCTGGCCTGTTTGTTTTGGGACCCAGTGGGCCTGTGCTTTCGTGGGTGAATGAGCCCGCTGTGTGGCCTCAGTCTTGGGGACTTGGGTTTGATCTAGAAGTATCAGGCTGCAATTAGCTTCATGTTGCCTTAATTTTTATTTTTAAATGGTGCCTGTCTTATTTTCCACATTTCTTTAGTGTTTTGTTGTTGTTGTTTTGGGGTTTTTTGTTGTTGTTATTGTTGTTTTTGTTTTTTTTTTTCCCCCGAGACAGGGTTTCTCTGTGTAGCTTTGCGCCTTTCCTGGAACTCACTCTGTGGGAAGGGTGCGATCTCAAACTCACAGAGATCCGCCTGGCTCTGCCTCCCGAGTGCTGGGATTAAAGGCGTGCGCCACCACCGCCCGGTTTCCTTTGCGTTTCTTATGTGTATATGTCTATGTGTTTGTTCACGTGTGGAAAGCATAGGACAACTTGCAGGGGTTGGTTCCTTCGACAGTGTGGGAGTTGTCGACTGAGGTCGTGAGGCAAGTGCTGTTACCCCCTGAGCCATCTCACTGGCCTAGAGTTGTACTTTATGGGGCACATCAAGTGAGCTACACAATTAGAGTCAACTGAGTTCATACAGAACCCTGATCTAGGAACCTGAGGTCTAGGAACCCCACCCCACCCCACCCCATTAGCTGGTAAAGCTGTGTCATGTCCTGCCTTGGACGTCACCGTTGGCTCCACTAGGCTTGTGTGCTCTCTGCTCGCCTTGGCATTGACCACTGAGAAGATGTCCCCTCACACCCTCCCCTCACCACACTTTTCCTCTCTCCTTACAGGTATCCGCCCCCAGATCATGAACGGCCCCCTGCACCCCCGCCCCCTAGTGGCACTGCTGGATGGCAGAGACTGTACTGTGGAGATGCCCATCCTGAAGGACCTGGCCACTGTGGCCTTCTGCGATGCACAGTCCACTCAGGAAATCCATGAGAAGGTAGGTTACACCCTACCCCACCTGGTCCCTCCAGGCCAACTGATGTCAGTAAGCAAAGTATACACAGGAACGCCATGTTTGGAATTCCTGATGCCCTTAGTCCACTGTGCCGCCCTCGGGCCCCTACTCCGCCATGTCCCCGTCCCATAATTCTGCTAACAAAATCTCTGCGGGTACCCAGGGGCTCTGACCTGTGACTCACGTCCCTGCCCACAGGTGTTGAATGAGGCTGTGGGTGCCATGATGTACCACACTATCACCCTCACCAGGGAAGACCTGGAGAAGTTCAAGGCCCTGAGAGTGATCGTGCGAATTGGCAGCGGCTATGACAACGTGGACATCAAGGCTGCTGGTGAGCTCGGTGAGTCAGAGAGCCTTGCTGGCTGCCTGGGAGCCATGCGCAGTGGACAGGGTAAGGAGCAGGAGGCAGAATGCAGGGCAGGTCGTTGTCCTGGCAGCTGGTTCCTGAGGTGGTCTTGTTTCCTGTGGGAGTCGAGCTCCTACATTTCCCGCCTTTTCTAGAGGAGGAGAGAGAGATAACAAGAAGATACCAGATAGAAAGACAGGAACACAGGATAGCTTCGGGAGGCCTGCATCAGTACCCAGCAGCCCCGAAGGTTTATTCAAAAGGCTTTTTATAGCATGCCAAGGGGCGGGCCGAAAGACCACCCCCTTGCTAGATCAAAGCACACCATACAGCCAAGTGTAGACCCTCCCAAACACCTGGTAACCACGGCCATGGTCAAATCATCTCCTTACACTGCCTTGCTTGGGTAAAGCCAGCTCAGATTCTCCGACCCTGAGTAATTGGGCCTCCAGTTTCCATTTCCCATGCAGCTCTATCTTTGCTCAGCCTCGGCTCCCAGCAGGTTCAGGGGCTGGAAGATCTTGAGAGATCTTAGTAGACTAGTGAGTTCCTCTCACAGAGCACACCAAGCAGACCATCGACTGCCACCAGGCCCAGGGGGCTTCCCAGAGCAAACCACAGGAGGCGGGTAGAAAGCCAAGCAGGAAGGTGGGATACCTGAATGGCACAGGGGACGACTCCCTGTCCACCCCCGTGAGAACTGCTGTACACTGTCGGCCGAGCCCCCTGACTCTGAGCCTGGGCTTACAGGGGTCATTGGGAGAGGCCCCAGCGTCACAGTATGTGGTCTGTCCCTGAAGGGTGTCACCTCTTAATTCGTGAGGCCCACAGATTTGCTATAACTTAGAATAACTGGAAACCCAGGTGCTGATGGCCGCCACAGCAGCCTGGCCGTGCTAATGCTCATGTCGTGGGGCCTGGGCCTGCCATCTGCCGCCGCCTCACCCCAAGGGCTCCTGGAACTCCTAGGACAGGAAAGCCAGGCATGGGCAGTACCTCCACAGTCATCCTGCACCAGGCTTGAAGCTAGACTTGGCAGCTCTGTCCATAGCCCAGGGAGGGACATGCCGGCCAGGCTGGCTGCTGAGGCAGCCCTGACCCGATCCCGCTTCCCTTCACAGTCTGAGTGGACACTTGCTTTAGTTGTTAGTGCCTTTGCATTTAGGGCAGCAGTTACCATGAACCCCAGGGTAAGAAAAGGGCAAAGGAAGCTGAACCCGGGTGGCACCAGCCTGCGCCCACAGTCTGTTGGAGCAGCCTCACAGGGGAAGACGGGAGACACCTCAGGGAAAGGAGAAGCAGTCATATTCAGTCCAGGCTTTTCTCGAGAGTCCTGGGTAATGATGGCTTCCTGTGTCCCCAGCCTGACCAGCCATGTGCATTTCCCATTTACAGCTGAGCTCCTCTTTGGCCACAAAGAAACTTGGTGTGGTTGGTGTGAGGCCACATACTTGAATTTAATTTAAA